GACCTGCCCAACTCAATCCTTAGCCATCTTCAAGAATCGGCTAAAAACACATAATGGCATGCTAAAACAATTGTGAGTAACCCGGGCCCCAGGTAGTGTAAGCCGAGCCCTAAAGGGCCATTAGAGGACCCTTAAAAGATTAGGAACCCATAACTTCTCTGTGCAAACTTGTCGGCACCCCTTTTTAACCAGTCAAAGTCATTTTTTATGATTGTTTACTTGTTGGAAACAGGAGACCGGGCAAAACAGATGCAATGAAAAACACCCCAACTGCTCCCATAAACTGCTCATCCCAATAAGCAGCGGGTGCCATGACCTGTCATCACTCTTGCTCACCCATCCATGATTTACACACTCTGTCCCTGTGGGTTTAAAAACTCACACTAATCCTTCAGGGATGGCCGTTTGAACCGACGTGGAAACTGCCCAAAGAGAGGGAGGATAAAACCGAAATCCAAGACAGACAGCCCCACAAAACTGCGAGCAGAAACAGATGCAGGGAAGCTCCTGTGTTTATAATTGATTTTCAAGGGCAGCGTCTTGTTGTCAGAGTTGTCTAACAAGCTTTCGCCTGGCGCCCTGGTGCTCATCAACCACGGGGCGTCAGATGCGCCGGCCCCTCCTTTCTTCACTCGGGATGGCACCATCCAGAAATACCAGGATCAGGCTGTGGAATGAGATTATTTTAAGAGATAGTCTTGAAGTCTCATCTATAGACAAAAAGAGGGAGTGTTAAAGGGATAGTTCATCCAAAAATAAAATTTGCCATCATTTACTCACCTTCATGTCAATCCAAATTTGTATGGATATTTATTTATTTGTTTTTGTGCAAAACATAAAAAAAAGTATTTGTACTTTATTTATTTATTTTTGTCCATTTTTTGAATGTCAATGGAACCCAAAACTTTTAAGATCCAAAAAAGGACATACACTGTTCATAAGTTCTTATGCTCACCAAGGCTACAATTGCTTGATCAAAAACACAGGAATATTATGAAATGTTATTATAATTTATAATAAATGACGTGATGGCAAAGCTTAATTTTCAGCAGTCATTACTCCAGTGTTCAGTGTCACATGATCCTTCAGAAATCATTTAATAGTTGTGCTGCTTAATATTTTAGTGAAAATTTTTATACATTTTTTTCCCAAGGATTCTTTAATGAAGTTCATAATACCAACATGTATATGAAACAGAAATCTTTTGTAATATTATACGTCTTTACAGTCACTTTTAATCAATTGAATGCATCCTTGGTGAATAAAGGTATTAATTTCTTTAAACATTGTGTGAAATTGACATGACTGGTATAGATTTTGAAGCATTCACTCACTCTCAAATCAAAATATTGATCTGATGAACATTCCAGACAATTTTTTAGGGAAACACTTACATATTGTGGAGCCACAGGTATTCCCAGCCCCTACGTCTTTGTCCTATGTGTTTACGTCCGAGCTCATGCTTTCTTTGTGAGACTCAAGGGCTAAGCCAGTAATTGGCCATGGATCATCAATCTTACAAAGCTTCCCAAAAGCTTTTCACCCAAACTAGTGAGAAGACGAATGAAAGTGAGTTGCCAGCAAGCAGACCCTGGGTGGAGCGATCAAGCAAGTCTGCGGTCTTTGAGAAACCACAATGCCGGTCCTACTGAAGAGTCCATCTGGTTTATGTCACATAACCCGTTCTTTGTGTCAAATGTATATGAGACACTTTATGTCCCTTTGAGGACGCATGGCAAGCAGACAGACAGGCAGGCACATTGTTTGCATAGGGCTGGCTGGAATGTAGACCTGTCGCGATCATCAAAAGAGTTCCTCCCTGCTTATATTACACAAATGTCTTTAGTATGGTTTCTGTGCCGTGCATGAAATTGAAAATGTCTTGAGAATTTCCACGTGAAGAAAAATGACTTCAATCCAGTCCTCATTTATGGTTTCCACTTATTGTTTCTGTCTGATTTATTGACTGAGTTAGAGTGTTAGGCAGCGTTGTCTTTCATTTTGCGTTTTTCTTTCTTAATGGATTTGGGGCTCTTGTTGTTGGTAAATGAAAAAGAAGGGAATTAATTTGCCGGAAGCCATATTTACAAAGCTGTCCAGCCATTTAGTCCAGCGTGAGGTCAGTCGAACCCTAGCATTTGTTTTCAGACTGTATTGGGTTTGGCTGAACTGTGGATGTCCATGGTTTGGCCTCCTCAGAACGCACAGGAAGACTCACAAATTTGTCAAAACGAGAGGGATGGAGTCGAACGGCTCCTAGAGCAAGTGTGGTTTCTGGGGTCATGACAATGTCTCTGCATTTCTCGTCGATGGAGATACAGTATGGGTTTCCCATCAGTCTGCATATGTTATTTATCGACTTGGGCTCATCCAAGTTAGCCTGTGTGTGTCCATAAGCGAACCCCAGAGCCGCTGCTTTGGGACAGAGACTCAAATCTAGGCCCATGCTCAGTCCAGGTCTTAAAGATGGAAAGGGGTGAAAAACAAACTGTGTCCATTTCTCCTCGGCGTCCAAAAGTAATCAGTGGTGTCATTGTACCCGTAAATCTCCTGTCCGGCAGTGGCTGGAGTCCCAGATGGGAACCCATCCCTCCACGTCATAAATCACGAAGCATCCTTGCAGAACCGGACTTCAGCTGTATATTTCTCAAAGTGAGGGGCGGGTGGCTGCAGAAATACTGCAGAACTGCGGCCTTCGAAGTCAATTTGCAAAGTGGGCCGCATCATATTCCTGTGCGGAGATAAAAGTACATTTCTCCCTTACTCTTTCAATATCGCTCTCGTTCTCCCTCCCTTTTGAAGCAGAGCTGCCTTTCAAAGCACTGAGCACGCTTTCTAGCAGCTCTGCTTCAGAAAACGATGAAATTTGATTTAAAATAATCCTGTTTATGTTATAGGAAAGCGGCTTCCTCCTGTGCCTCGTCCTGGGAAATGACCTGTTGTTGAGCCTAGGACACATAGAGTGACAGACACGTGAATGGAAACAGAAAGAATATTATGCATACACATATAGTAGACAGGAAAAAATATGCTGCTAGTCATGAATGAAGTTACAGGGAAGGTAAGCACATTGAAAAGCACTCAAACGCAACTCCAAACCTCTCTGACATTTATTGCTGTTTTAAAAACATAAGGCAATTTTCGAATTTCCTATCAATAAAAACAGACAAGAAACAAAATTCTTATCTCAGTCTGGCTGACGGAGACATCTGTTTTCATCTCCGTAACTGTACTGTATATCTTCCACAGTCGGGCATCTGAAGTACTTTATATTGATTTGGGATGTTCTCCCTCCCTTTTGAAGCAGAGCTGCCTTTCAAAGCACTGAGCATGCTTTCTAGCAGCTCTGCTTCAGAAAACGGTGAAATTTGATTTAAAATAATCCTGTTTATGTTATAGGAAAGCGGCTTCCTCCTGTGCCTCGTCCTGGAAAATGACCTGTTGTTGAGCCTAGGACACATAGAGTGACAGACACGTGAATGGAAACAGAAAGAATATTATGCATACACATATAGTAGACAGGAAAAAATATGCTGCTAGTCATGAATGAAGTTACAGGGAAGGTAAGCACATTGAAAAGCACTCAAACGCAACTCCAAACCTCTCTGACATTTATTGCTGTTTTAAAAACATAAGGCAATTTTCGAATTTCCTATCAATAAAAACAGACAAGAAACAAAATTCTTATCTCAGTCTGGCTGACGGAGACATCTGTTTTCATCTCCGTAACTGTACTGTATATCTTCCACAGTCAGGCATCTGAAGTACTTTATATTGATTTGGGATGTGAAATTCAACTCGATTGTGTAGATTTTTTCTTTTTCGCTTAAGAATTTCAATATCAAAAACAAGCAGATGTTTCAGATCTGTGTGTCAGATTGAAACCAGCACAAGTCATGTGGTGAATAATATCGTCTTTCCAAAGTCACTAACATGACATCTTTGCTCTGAAAATACAATGCACGAGCAGAGGTGACCACATTTTTAACTAAGAAAAGTTTGGAAAAAAAAAAATACAAAAATATGTAAAATCAAATTCACTTATATTCTCTACATTTCAATGCACAAACAGAACAAAAGTGTTAAAACACAAAAATAAATTAGAAATGAAGATATGCTCCAGTGGCATGTTTTTGGCATGTCTTTTGCGATATGGCATGATGGGCCAAATCAAAGATCAAAGAGATATATTCAATATATTAAATTTCTGTCATCTTTTACTCACCCTCATGTTGTTCCAAACTCAAATTCTGTGGAACACAAAAGCACAGATGTGTGAATAACATCCTCTTTTCAATATAATAAAAGTAAATAAGAACTGAGACTGTCAAGCTCCAAAATGACAAAAAGCACCATAAAAGTATCATAAAAGTAGTTCAAATGACTTGTACTCTATATTCCAAGTCTTCTGAAGTCATTTGATAGCTTTGTATGATGAACAGACCGAAATTCACTTTACAAAATCTGACTTTTTGTGTTCCAAAGAAGCAATAAAATCATACAGGTTTGGAATGGCATGAAGGTTTAGTGAATAATGGCAGAATTGTCATTTTTGTGTAAATTACTTTAATATTTGCAGGTGTGTTAGTGTCACATTGGGACGGTTCATCTCACTGTCCCTGGTGTTTGTAAGATCCTTCAGGCAGTTTGGCTGCTAGACACAATGGACAGGAGGGCCCCAGCAGGACTGTTAATCATCGCACACATTAAACGAATGTACTAATGAGACACCAAGGTCACTGTCTGTCGTGTGTGAGGACTGATTCCCAACAGCTGTGATACATTAAAGACGTAGTGTCTTACACTGATGGTTTGCAGGCATATTAAACAGACCTTTCTGGCTAATATCTCTTGCTATGGCCTATATGTTTAACTGTAACCTTTTTTAATGACACTAGCTTGAAATAACACGATTTAACCATGCAGTATATGTTTAACTTAGAATAACAGTCCAATCAATCAGATTTTAGAGTTGAGGGCTTGAAACATATTTTTATTGATCACCTTTTCAGATTTTTTTTTGCTTACGATTATGGATAGTGTTGCTCTAGGACCAACAAACAATCTTCATCAAGGAACATGTTCTACGTGGATAAGTCAGGATAAGTCTGGTTTTATGTGAGAAGATTCAAGCTAGTAATTTGTAAATAATTTGTCTGAAAGTGAAAATTCTGCATGATGAAAAATCACAACCAATCTGAACATATTTTATGTAGAATGGAGGGAGATTTTGGACCAATGATATTTTAGTAGGGATGGGGCTACACAGAATAAAGATGCAGAAATGGAAACCAAGCAGCTTAGTTATTGCAGTCCAGGCCAGTTTGGACAAAAACTTGCATGGAAAAGATTTTAACACTGGTTAATCTTGTGTAGACTGGTTGGGCCACTATATAAAGCTTATACCAATATCAAACCACAAAGCAAACATCCCTCTATCCTGTAATATCAACTTTCCAAATATCCAAAAAAAAAAATAATTGCCTGAAATGCCGAAATTGTAATCACAGACCAGGTTCTACCCGAACCGAGAGTAGAACAATTCCCATTTATCAAGAAACCCACCAGCGTTGGTGGTCTATGTTATTTACTGCCCTCGATTTCGTTAGACCTATGCTCATTTTTCCAGTCTCCTTTCACAACCCCCTTCCTGTCTCAAACGTGCCAAAATGACAGAGTGCAATAAAGGAGCACGGTGGCACAGAACGCACCAATCCCATCAGTGCATGACTTTAATTACCAGGCCAGCGGTTCGGCATAATGGGGAAAAGGTGGATATGCAAAAGACTAATAATTTATCCAACTTTTTCTCATTTAAACTTCTCTACATTCTTTTCTCCTTCGTTTTGTTCTTCAGCTCATTTCTCTGAAGCATGCCCAATAATTTTCTTTTAACAAAAAACATTTGCATAAGCGAAATTATCTGCGCACAGCGTGTCACACAGAAAGAATGAGCTGAGCACAGGAGCACAGGTGGCTGAAATCAGCCTTTATGGCTCACTGTGTTGCCTTCTCACTCTCCCTTTCCGTTTCTCCTATGTGCTAACTATCTCTCTCTTCAACTATAATGGATTTCAGTGTGGCAGCATGGTTACTCCCTGGTGTTCATGACTAGAGGACTAAAGCTGGTGTTGCTACAGTCTCTTTGAAGAATTAAAAATGCTGTGGACCAGATTTCATCTATCTAGAAAAGACTCTGGAGTCAATGCCTCTATAAAGACCCATTATATTAAGCTCTAATGTGATGTGCGTCTGTTGCCCATATGTTTGCATGACAAGGTTGGAGATTTGTATACCCAAATATGAGATTATAAAACATGTAGGAAATGTTCTGAATCCCTAATTTTAGGTATTGTTATGTTTTATGTCAATCTTTTGTCCGAGACATCTAGAATTGTTTATTAGCATTAAAAAGTATAACATATTTATATATTTATAGTTTTATATTCATTCTACATACATACACGCATACATTTAAATAAATAAATAAATATATACATATGTGTGTGTGTTTTAATATAACATTTGAGTGCAAAGTAAAACATATATTATTATATGTATGCATGCTGCATGTATTTTTCTTTGATGTAAAAAATCTTTATTCACTTTTTTTCAGTTTGAAAATTTTTAAAATCTATATATATATCTATATCTATGTATCTATAACAAAACAATATCTACACTCTAAAAAATACTGGGTTAAATACAGCCCAGTGCTGGGTAAAATAGGGACAAACCCAGCAATTGGGTTTGTTCCTATC